GGATGGGATGGGATGGGATGGGATGGGATGGGATCCTCCCTGCCAAGCCACCCACGGACCCGTTGGTGCAGTGGGAACAGGGGACTGTGGCCAGGAATGTCCCACCCGGCACGGGGTGTCCCCAGAAGGATTCCCAGGGTGGTATGGACACCCTGTGAGGTGGGAGAAGGGGACCATGGCCAAACCTCCCACAAAATGTGAGTGTCCCAAAAGCATCCCCAGGGTGCACTTGCCAGGTGCAGTGGGAGAAGGGAATTGTGGCCAGGAACATCACACACAATGTGAGAGTGTCCCAGGAGCATTCCCAGGGTGTTGTGGACACCTTGCCAGGTGTGGGGTAGGATCTGGGATGTGGGGCTAAGAGGGAATGTTCTCCTGGAAGGGAGAGGTGGAGTGCAGGTGCTTCTGCTGTGTTTGGGGCTTAATTTTAGGGCTTGTGGACCTTTCCTTTGCAGCAGGAAAGGAAGTCACCAGCAGGTCAGAGCATTTTGGGTGGGAAACTCACCATTTGCCTCTCGTTCTTCACCTCCTTCTTCAGCTGATCCAGCTCCATCTTCAGCAGCTCCTTCTCTGTCATGTCCTGAGCCATTTTGCCCTGGAACTGCAGGGAAATGGCTCGTTATTGGGATTATTGCTTTGTCCCCACAGTATTGCAAATCCCCCCCAGTGTCCCACTGCAAAAGGAAACCGAGGCAGGAGCCACCTCTCAGTCCCCTTCCTGCCACATCTGCTGTTCCCAGATTTTCCTTTGCTCCTTCCCAGCAGGCACGTGGAGCGAGAGATGCAGCCTGAGGGCAGGGGAGGAGGATCCAGCCTGGTTTTTAAGGAGCTCTTTGCCACCACAGAGGCTGGTGGAGGAGAGAGTGAGCCTGGATGGTCCTGGAGAGGAACCTCTGCCTCGGGGCTGTGGGAGAACCTGGATGCCCAGGTCTGCCAACTGCACCTCCCTGAGGGGTGTCCTGTGCTCGGGCAACAACATCTTTGGGGGTTTCCTAAGGAACTAAATGGATTTCACTTTTTGTTTCCTCCCTGTGCCTTTCCCCCAGGGATCTCTAACCTGGATTGTGGCTCCTTCATTGCTCTGAACTTAGCTGGTTTTATGCACTCGCTGCCACTGCAGGTTTTTGGGGGTTGTGTGGGTTGGAGAAGCCCAACCCTTTTCCCACAAAAGCCCATCCAGGGGTTATGTGAGACACCCCCAGAGCTGACCTGCACTGTGAGATCTATTTCCGTGTCCAAACTTGGGTTTTAAAGCCTGGGCAGGACCTCTTCAATCAACCCAGAGGAGCTGAGGCTGAGCTGTGCCCTGGCCCTGCTCAGAAGGTGTCGAGCCCCAGCGTTGCTGTGCGGCCACTCCCGTGGCAAATGCACCTCGTATCCCCCTTCCCTCCCATCCCTCGGGACACAGCCAGCCCTGGGAGCTGCACCAGGAGCCCAGGGTGGCACAGCCCACGGGGAAAGTGGCTCCCAAAGCGGGTGGGACCCACCTGGAGCAGCAAAGGCACCTACCTGGGGGGGCAGGGGGGCTGCCCCGCGGCGCGGTGGAGACGCTCAGAGCCCCATCCGAGGGGAGATGCTGCTCTCCTGCTCGGAGCTGGAAGACTCCTCCAGCTCTCTGGGAGGGCAGTGGGAAGCAGATGTCTTTGGCCCTTAAGCTGATAATGGACTCAGGAGAATAAGCTGGTCAGGTGTTGGGAATTAGCCTCAAAGTCCAGGGTAAGCAGCGGGGCTGTGGGGAGGGTGAGGATGGGCAGGAAGGGTGGGTGGGTGACTGGGACACCCGGGAAGTCCTTGAGTCCCTGCCATGGGTGTCTGAGCCTGTGGAGTGTCCAGATCCTGATTTGGGGTGGCAGGACTGACCCCTGGGGGGATCAGGGCAGCTTCCACCCAGTTTAGGAGGGGAACTGGGGCGAGGGGGCTGCCACGGCCTCATCGGGGCCGGGAGCGGCTCGGGAGGCTCTTGGTCCTTCAGGGTGTGAGGAGCTGGGCCGGGGCCGGAGGAAATCCATCATTTCCCTCGTCCTTGTGCCGGAGGAGCCGCGGGCTCAGGAAGGGCCAGGCCCTGATGAGGGGTGTCTCTCCTGCCTGGCTGGTGCAGAGTCTCTGGGGCTGAGGATGGGCCCGGGTGGCCCCAAGGAAGCACCTGCGGGTGGAGGAGGAGGAGGAGGAACCCGAGAGGCCCCAAGGAAGGACTTGTGGGGTGGAGGAGGAGGAGCCCGAGAGGCCCCAAGGAAGGACCTGTGGGGTGGAGGAGAGGGTGGAGGGGGATTTCCAAGCACGGGGAAGTGGGAATTTCCTGCAGCCTCACCCCATGGGGATGTGAAACGTCCTCAGCAGGGCGCTGAGCAGGACACGCTGTCCCGGGCAGGGAAAGGACGGGCGGCTCGTGGGGTCACTTGGCACATCCCGCTGTGCCCCGAGCACAGCCAGGCCCGGGTGACCTGTGTGGGATGCACGGGGGCTTTTCCAGGGAGGGGGACCTGGCAGTGGAACCGCTGCCCTTGGCTGGACCCCGCGCCTGGCCCATAAAGGCGAAGGGAAGGAAATGTTCCTGATGTTCCTTGGATCCCTGGATGTGCTCGTGCCTGGCTCAGCCCCAGCCTGGAGGGCAGCAGTGGCTCGAGGACGGCGGGC